CACTTGCTAACGGATTTCGCCAGTTTTATGATCTCACTGTTTGCCATCTGGATAGCCGGACGTCCATCCACGCAACGGTATGTATGCCCATCCCATCCTCCCATTCTGCTAGGTAAGAGACTTTCCCTGTACAAAGTCTAAGGCCAATCAATAAAATGTTCAACTTTTTTGTGCTCTCACAACTATTTCTTGACGCGACGCTCGGCATATGCTGTGCTCTGCTGCCGGGCGGAATTTGAAACTTTAGATCTATGCGACAGCAGTGCAACAAATTATTGAATTGACTGGCACAGAAAGGGAAAGAAATTTAAGGCGAGAAAGTCGTAGAGAGAGTGGGAAAAAAGAGTGTGAGAGAGAGAGAGAGAACTAGTACGAAATTCGTTGAGCTAACTGAAATCTGATTGAAACATTAAAAAATAGCTTTATTTATTTTTAAAGTGTTAATTTTTTAATGTGACAATGATAAACATATATATATATATATATATTATATAATTATATATTATATCATTATAAAATATATCATTAATATATATCAATAATTGAAATAATTATATATTTTGTTTTAAAAATTATTATATATATGTATATATGTTTCTAAATTTTTTTTTAAATATTAAGATTACAATTTTTAATTAATTAAGTTTTATAGTTTTTAGTTTTTAAAAATATAACAAAAATTTTCTGATAGTCTTTAGATATGCTTCGTAGAAAAGCGAACGTAGTATGAAATAATTTTGTTTTTTTTTTGTATGACACAAATAAGCAGACATCATATCTGATCTTATCAACTACATATACTTCAGCTCTATATAGGCCCAAAACCATAGAGTCAACCATATAAACTCTAGAGTTTGCCACATTGGTAATCGAGCTGAAATATTATAATTATATCAGAGTTTCTTTTGCTCTGCGCGTAAGGGTATTTAATCTTCAGCAATCCAAAGAAAATTTGGCAACATTTCTGCCGGTTGGCTGGTTACGTCCGCATTGAGGCTCTGGGCCCCGCCTACAAATTTCCCGCACATTCGCGTGCTCTCCTCTCGCCTTCGTCTAATTAGGCGAAGAGCCTGTTTCCAAATTTTCACTGCTGCTGCAGCAGCAGTTGCTGTTTGTACTTTTGCTGCTGTTGCGTACATTTGGCCATTGCACATTTTTCAATTGGTCTTTGGGAACTGCGTAGCTGTTGCTGCCCCTTCCTCAGCTCCGGCACCTCCTCAAGTCTAAGGCAGGCCCATCGAGTGGGCGCTTGGCATCCATCTTGTTCTCGTTCTGGTTGCGCTTGTGTTTTTAAGGCAGAGCAAGGCAGGGAGCAGGGCGGGGCGTCGCGGGGCAAGCACGTTCTGCTCATTCATGCAAAAATCTCACTCACTCGACGACTCGACTGCAGCCACAAAGTGAATAATGAAAAACTTTTGCAATTTCAAGCGTGTTGCATGGTAATTTTGTAAATTTTCTGCCGCTGCCTCAGACTTTGTGCCTTCTCATATTGCTGTTGTTGTTGTTGTTGCTTGTGTTGCTGCAGCATGTGCAGCGCCTGGTTGCAAGCCTCAGCCTTATGCGGTACTCATGCTTCAGCTATTGCTCCAGCACCAGCGCCAACTCCAGCTCCTGCTTCTGCTTTTGCTTCTGCTCCTGCTGCAGCTCCTGGTCCTGCTTCTGCTCAGGCTTTTGCTTCATGCGGTTCAGAGCCGTTGCCATTGCCGGTCTCGTTCTCGTTTCCATTGCCGCTGCCGCTGCCAAGTTGACAAGCCTAATTTATCAAAACAAAACACATTTGCACAATTGCAAAGGCAAACGCAGAAACGCTGAGCACAGACGAACGCCAAACATTGCTGCACAGTGGGTCGCAATCAGATATGCCTAATCTATTAATTAGGGAATTATATCTTATAAGCATCAAGATAATAAATTTGAGCTACCTTTTTTAAAAATAAATAATAAAATCAATAATCAATAAAAAAATTAATTTTTGAATTAAAAATTTCAGAATTTAATTATAATTTTTTACAGCAATTAAAAAATATATTATTATTAGAATTTTTTCTGTGGTATTATTAGTTGTTTTATTAAATTAAGTATTTGATTAGGTATTTTTTAGGATTATACTTTTATTATTATATTTAAAGATTTCTATGCTTCAAACTTGTTATACTTCAAACTAAAAGATTTAATGAAAAATTTGAATTTGTAAACATAGTTTTTAAAAACAAATTTTTTACAATTAAGGTAACAAGTTTTTAATATTAAATTATAAATTTTAATTTTAATTACATTTTTGATCTTAAAAGAAGAGTTTAGAAATTTGTTTTTCATTTAAAAAGATTAATTGGTATTCAAAAAATTTTTAATATATTAATTAATTTTTTTTTTAAATTTTTTTATTAAATGTAATATTTTGAACTAATTTTTTGTATAAATTCCTAGCTCAATATTCCTCTAAAATCACTTAAAACTTATTCAATATGTATTTCCTATAAAAATCTATTAATAACTATAATTATTCAGCTATCAATTTAATAGTTTCAATACTTAACAGATGAATCTCCGAACCCATGTAAATCTATATAACATAATCCTCGCGTATTAAACAACTGTCTAGCTAAGAAGTTCTCATTGTTTTCCATTAAAAGTTCTTTTCCCTTTGCTAACTGTTACTTTATTAGTGAAAATTCCAGTTAAGTTAAATAATCCATAATATGTCCTCGCTGATAGCTCAGCGAAACTTCATAATTGTTCATAATTTCTATAATTGCATGGATGCTGTACGTGATGCTGCATTTATTTCATTCCCTTGTTGACCTTGAAATGTTTTATCAGTTGAAAAGTGTAATAATAATTAACTGCGTGATGATCACTGCTGCACACGAGCTCAACCTATAATGTATTATGTGCGCTTCTATATATTTCTATTAATACCCTGTACTTATTTGCTTAAGGAGTATGTTGAGCATAGACTTATTTGAAATATATATAGAGTTAATGTGGCTATTGAATGTGGAATTAAATTAAGTTAATTATTCATGTTTTATTTGTTACATACTATACATATTTTTTCTAACAATCGATTACTCTTGCTGCATATAAATATTATGGATCAGGAGATCAGGATCTGTGTGACATACACTGATCTAAATATACATAATTTATCGATCAGTTATTCTTCTTTTACAATACATTTCTGAAGCGCTATGTATATAGCTTTATCAGGGTAGTGGACCATCGGTTCTAACTGATAGTTAAGTTGATCGATAATTGTTATATGCAAACCTTTATAGATCTAGCTGAGATAGGGCTTAGTTTAGTTTTTTATCATATATTAATATAGAATTAAGTAAGCGCTAACTTTTACATTTTTATCGATATATATATTATATATATAGAGCAAATCGATATTTGAAATGTCCCGATAACTTTATCTAAAAATTCGATATATGACTGCTTGAGCTTCTGTGTGCCTGTTTAATGCAGGTAACTGTTAGTCGTTCCCACGCGCTGCCGATGCTTGCCTGTTTTTTTGACAACTTTCTGTTAGTTTTTGGCCAGCATCCAGCCCAATGTGCCAAGCGCATAAGGTGGTTAGCAACGCTCCCAGCAGCATTAACAACAGCAGCCAATCCTCCAGTCGCGCCTTTGGCGCCTTCAGCAGCAGCAGCAACAACAATATGAAGAAGAGAAACCGTAACCAGAGAGGCGGCAGGCGGTCATTAAGCAAATGGCTGCACTTGCAATTGCAAGGGGCTACCAAGCACATATACATATACAAATATATATATAGAACTATATATATAGTGGCCATACACATTGACACAATCTGCAGAGGGTTTCGGAGAGGGGTTCTGGGGGCTCTTGCGACGGATGTTTGCTGGAAATTAAATTGTATTATTATGGCGAGACATTCGTTGCTTGCATTGTTGCTGCTGCTGCTGCTGCTGCTGTTGTTGTTGTTGTTGTAGTTGGCTGCCGGTGTGTGTCGCATTAGTTAGCAGCTTCAAAAAAAAACAAAAAGCAACAACACAGCGAGTTGGCAGGCTGGCAAAATTGTTGGCATTGCCATTATTTCAATTTTATAACGAGCTTGGCGTCGTCCCCTCTGCGCGGACGTTGCTTTAATTGAACGAACGTCGCCCTCGACCAGGTGTTGACTTTGAACCCACCAAAAATACAAGAAAAAAAACAGTAACGTTACGAAAAATGAGAAAACACACATGCAATGAGCTCATTACATTAGGGAATACCAACAACGGCAGAGCACACAGACCCAGCCGAGCCCAGCACAGCCCAGCCCGGCTCGGCTCGGTGCCGTTTCCCCTCCGCGTCCACAGTTGGACGCACGGCGCGCCCCTAAAAAGCCGGGACACTCAAATTAAAATGGCATTTGACAAATTTTTGGGGCGCATTTATCAACTTATGTTAATTTTATGCCACACAACGCCTCACACTAGCTAGCCTATCTCACCTTACCTTAGCCTGCCCAAGCCTAGCGAACTGTGTGAAGCATGCTTATGGAAATTGCTTTCTCATTTGATTTAATGTTATGATTTTCACAGGTCTGTCTAGTATTTGCCTATTTTTTAGTCACTTTTAATTAGTTTTCCAATTGAAGAACATTTTAGCTGACATTTTCTAATAAGTAAAACTAGTTTTTCGCAATGATTTTTTTCGTAATGTAAATATAGATTTTGGAAATATAATTAGAAATAGATTAAGAAATCTTTCACAAAGAGTTTTAATAAACTAAAAATGACCAGTAGATTTTTCGTAATATTTAAATGCATTTGTGTTCTATAGGATCAAGTTATTATTATATATATATATATAAGATATGGAAGTTACTTCTTAGTTAAACTTATTTTGCAATACTAAAGGAACATTTAAAAACTCAAAATAGTAATATAAATTAAGGTAAAAGTTATGAAATGTAGTTCTTAGAATGTGAGATCATTTAGTATAGAAATTTTCGATAGGCTGCCTGGTAGAACCCCTAGCCCCCTAGCAAGTCGAGCTGAGTCTAGATCCGTCTGCTCGTCTATCTGGCCCTTTGTTCGCCCAAGGCATACACAGTTTGAGTTGATCTATTTTAACGATAACTCTTTCTATTGTCTTATCGATAAAAATCGATGAACTGATTTGATTTCTAAAGCTTAGCTTGAACACCATAAAAGATAGAGACTTAAACTTTACTGTGTGTGATCCTGATATGGTGTATACCTGCATTCCTTCATTTGATAAGTAACCTATGCTCTTGACTTATCCATACAGCCTTGACATATTTATATAGCTCAGATAGCAGCTCTTTTAGATATGATCTAATATTTTCTTTCTGATGCTCGTTCAAGGCATTCCAGTTCTGTTGACGTCTATATTTGAGATGTGCATATAGTTGAGGTACAGTTTCATTTAGAAATGATCTAACATTTTCTGCGTTTAAGAATCCCAGATATTGTTTATATTGACCTAGCTCAGATAGAGTTTTCTTAATAAATGCTTTGATATTTTTTAATGGATCCTCCTTCAGCGAATCCCAACTCTGATCATTTCTATAACTGTTATTTGGAACTTGTTCTGCCCTACACACTGGCTGAGCAGCCAACAAATCCCTAGACAGTTTAGCTTTGTCGTCATTATTGTTTCCTGTTGCACTGCAGTAATCTGTTTCGAGCATTATTAAATAAGATTATTATACTTAAATGGATTTTGAGTACTTACAGAAGATTTGGAAGAGTAAGAGCTTGTATAGAAGCATCGTTGTTAGCTTTTGTGCTTGGACTCTGCTTATTTCATTTGAAAATCTAGATTTTGTAGCTTTTGTTAGATTGAGGCGTATTAATTTAACATTCGTTATGGTTGTTTGAATAATTTGAGCTAGATGCGGTTGGAATCAGCTAATTTGCTTCGCTTTATGTTTATATATCTTATATAAGTGCTCTAGTTTGCAAATGTTCCTGAAAGTCACATTGAGTTCCGTTTGCTTCACTCTGATAACTATATTATTATAGTTACCATATGATAATACGAACAGATACTACACAGAACTAATATGCTCTTTTAACTTTGCAAACGTCTTAGTCTTAGGAAGGTGTTAGGCTTGTCTATTTATAGAACTTAGAATAGTATACAATGAGCTTGTTTAAGTATATGCAACGGGCAGCAGGAGACGTGATCGGAAAGACGAGCTAAGTGAATGAAGCCAAATTCAGCTTCAATTTCGATAACTGAATTCATTTCATCATCCCGCTAAGCACAACTTGAAGACCATAGAAACGAAATAGGTCAAATTTACTTATATTATAAATAATTTCGTTTTGATATACCAACCTCACTTGACCTCTAAATTGTAAAAAAAACTTATTTCAATAGCGAGCAGCGTCTTACCAAATTCACCAACTTTGCAGTCATTAATACTCTGTGGAAATTTGATATTCGCTTGACTGGAGCATGCTTCAATTTGGCTTCAATAATAATTTGAAATTCGTTGGAAATTTTCAGCTCAGACACACTTTGGTATTATTTGATGTGAAACTTTTTTGTTTATCTTTGACAGAATGTCGTTTGGCTGGTATCGGGCGGAGGTGATTGGCGCCATGGCCTCCGTCTTTATGATCTGGGTGATAACTGGAATACTCGTTTGGCTGGCAATCGGACGACTCATTAGCGGCGACTATGATGTGGATGCCAAGATCATGCTGATCACATCGGGTCTGGCAATTTTGGTGAATGTCATGTAAGTAGCATTCCTTGAAGTGGCCTGTCTAAACTGTGTCTGTGTCTGCCCCGAAACTCTTGCCTCTGTCGCTTTGTCTATTTGTGTCTATTTGTCTGCCTGCATTTTGGCTGCGGCTCCCTTGGGCAGTTTTCCAATTGCAATTGCCGCAATCAACTTGTCCCGGGCTCGGTCATGGGCCAGCAAATGGGTCAACAATGCAACTCTGTCCTGGCAATGGCATTCCACTCGATGCCATATCTTCTTAGCCATGCCATGCCATGCCATTGCTGCCTGCCTGGGCAGGCTCTTCGAGGCGTGCCAGTTGTTGCGGTAACTTTCTCCACATTTTAGCGACAACTTTTCCATCCGCAAGTTTCGAATTTTTTGCGTCAACAAAAGGCAAAAGCGACGCCAACGATGACTGCGACTACGGCGACGAAATTTTTGCTTTTGCTTGTGTTTGTGTTGGGCCAGTCCCAAGGTGCAGCAGAAGCACTTCTCATACTTTGCCCTAGCTCTTTCCCTTCTATTTTTGTTACTTTTCTTTTCTGGCAGAGCATAATAACTTTGCGATGTGATTTACCTGCCTTAAAAGTTCTACTTAATTGAATTGACAAGCATTTCAAGAATTCCGGCTGTTCAATACGTTTAGTCGATATTTTGTTGATTGACACAATTATTTTATTTCATTTCAAATATTTATTTTTAACTAATTATTAATTCCTTAAATTATTTATTTTAATTTTTAATTATTTAAAATTATTTTTAACTTTTTGTTTTTATTATTTTTAATTGAATATTAATTTGTTTGACAACTTCATTTATTTAAACTTTTTTTTTTAATTTTCAAAGATTTTTATACATTTTTAGACATTAAATTTCTCCATTAATTTTTTTTCAAGATTTAATTACTTAAGTTAAATATTAAATACTCTAAATCAACAATTATTTTTTATCTCATTCCTTCTTCGATAACCATTTGCTCTGTCTCAATCGATTGCCTTAGCTTAGGCAGCGTATTTGAGCTTCGTCTGCTTTTTTAGAGGCTCTGCGCTTTGTTTTGATTGCATCGTGTGCAGCACCTGCAACTGTAGCTGCCACAGTAGCAGTGGCACAGCCCCCTCAATACCCTCGTAGCCAACGTCTTCATGCTGCTCGGGCGCCCTCCGCTTGCAGCTCGTTCATGTGGCTGTCGAAGCATAGTTTTTGGCGCATAAATCGAAACGTTTCAATGCTCGGCACATGCTCTCGCTCAAGTGTGTGTGTGTGTGTGTGTGTGCGAGTGTGTTTGTGTTTATGTGTGTGTTTTGTGTGCGCGACGACCCGTCGCTGTATGCCCCTTCGCTTCAACTTGCTGTTGTTGCTGCTGCTGCTGCTGCTAGTAGCGCAAATTTTCCAGTTGACGTTGGCATTTTCAGTGTTGGCCACTTGAATTGTTTGATTACGTGAATTGATTGTGAAAAACGTGCAGCGGCAGCAACAGCAACTTTTTCCCAACTGCCCCTCTCCTTTCTTTCTTTCGCTTCTTCAACTAGGGGGCGTGGCAAGAGTCCAGCAACGGTTTGGCCGCGAAGGCGGTGGGGAGAGCCAAGGGGAGGTCATCAGCAAAGAAAGTCAAGTCAAGTCAAGCTGAGGCTTGACTTGTCGCAACGTGTTTGGCTGCACGTCGAACAGCGAAATTAAATGGTCACCTTTTACTGTTATGCGATCTCGAAAGCTCGTTTTTGTTGTCGTTGTTGTTGTTCCAGTTGTAAATCTTGCTTTTGTTGTTACAAAGTGAGTACTCCATGTGAATAGCTGGAGCATAGGGTATGCTAGTGGCAGTTATTGTTATTACACCTATAAATACTTGAGCTATGGACTAAAGCGATTGTGCCTAGAATAATAGTTACATAAACGCTGAAGTGGGATATAAATATGATAAAGTATAGTTGGGGACATAGTTGAGCTTGTCTTAGAGATATCTTCCATCTTTCATCTTCCATCTTTCATCATTCATCTTCCATCTTCCAACTTCCATCTTCCAAATTCAATCTTCAATCTTCCATCTTCCATCTCCCATCTTTCATCTTTCATCTTTCATCTTTCATCTTTCATCTTCCATCTTCCATCTTCCATCTCCCATCTTCAATCTTCCATCTTCCATTTATTCTTGATTCTAGGATATCTCGTAGTCATCTCATAGCTTTCAGTTCCCATAATGTAGTTATAGTTGTAGTATATAGTGCCATTGGCTGTTTTTTGAAGGTTTCTTAAGTTTCATTCCAAGAGTTAGTCGAGTTTTAAGTTCAATTAGCAAATGCCCGGAATGTAGGCAACAACTTTTGCGTGGAGCTTTGTTAGATTTAGCTGCAGCCAGCAGCTATGCGTGGCAGCTTAAAGTGGCACTGTCGACGATTCCACATCGTTAAAAACGGCCATTAGGAACGCACCCACACACACACACACACACAGACGCACACAAGCAAACAAAAGCGTGGCCAGAGCCGTAAATGGCAGGTGGGACATTAGCGAAAACAGCTGAAATATGAGTAGGACGAGTAGGAGTTGGGTTTAGTTTGCCAGAGAGAGAGAGAGAGAGAGAGAGTGTGTGTGTTAGAGAGAGAGAGAGAGTTGCTGCAATTTAGCACTTAACGTTCGATGTAGCAGTGGGGAATAGTTTGCAGCTTTTAAATCAAATTTTAGTTTCTTTTTTATAATTGATTACGACTTCAATTGCATCTTTTTTTGTTTATATTTTATTTATATCGATTGCATTAGCACTTTGGATGTTAATTTGAACTCGAAACATATTCAATATTCAAAAATATATTCATATTTATTGCTTAACTAAGGTTTGAGTGCAAAGTTCGCTCAGTGAATCATAAATTGGAATCTGCATTTTAACTGAAGATGCTTAACAAATGAAAAAGTTATTGAAATCTGCAAAATTCATAGTAATTTTCAAGAGTTCATTTAATTCATTATATATATAAATCTATATCTAGTTTGTTATGGTTCATGTCGAGTTTTGTATGAAAAAATTGACTTTTCTTTGTTCTATAAAAAATATAGATATAAGATGGTCGTCTTTATACATTTTTAAAGAATATTTTAATATTTTAAATATTGTCTTATTGTATAAAATTAAGTATAAAATGCTTCCGATTTGATTAGCTCAATATTAATGTAAAAGTCATTTGTTACCTTTTCAAAGAGTTTATTCATCATTTTAGGCCTGTTTCAACTCTGCATAACTTTGAGATACATTTGATTTTCTGCCAGAATTGTCGTCTAACTTGGTTTGGATTTAAATTTGTTTAATAACATATACATACTTAATATACATAAATGTCTATTGAGACATATAGACTTTGTAGCTCTTGGCTTTTATATATTAATTTAGTGTATTATATTTGTAAATGAGATAATTAATTATAATAGTTGAAAATTTGATTTTAATAATAAAACTCAATGTAAAAATATATTATTTTACAATTATTCTTATGATGAATAATTATTAAATTAAATAATATATTAAATAATTTATTTGTCATTTAACTTGTTTGGAAATATGAAAAGAAATTTTTCCAAAATTAATTTTTGAGCTTTCAACAGTAATTGTGCCTGAGCTGATTGTCTCTTGTCACAGTTCATAAACATTTATCTTGCAATTCTTTGAACTTCCCCAGCTTTTCCCCTAAATAGCAGCACAACTTGAACTCATATTAGTGCTCGACAAATGAGTCCTAATATATTCATTCTGATTTTGCATTGATATCAAATTGTTCAATCAGAATCGTTTCAAGTGTTGAGCGGCATTTCGAACAGGTTTTGCCTTTGCTTCACGCAATCGTATTATAAATAAATAAATAAATAAAATCTTCTACATGCAAACACAGAACAATTTTGCCGCTCAGTGAACTTTTTCAATTCAATTTGCAAATCGATAAAAGTTTATTTTTAAACTGCAGCGTTTTAACTTAAACTTTTTTGTTTGTAATTTATGCGGTAAATGAAAGTAATTAACTGGCATTTAAAATAAATGACTCAGGCCTTAAGTGCATTTGCATATAGAGAGAGA